CAAACAACTAACCTATAAGATTCCGACGGGCGATCCCCACTCTAACGAGCCTCTAGATTCAAAGCCCACCTTGCACCTGTTACGCACCATAATTCTTTCCTCCGTCGAGTAAATCATTCTGAAGGTTTGCCGGCTCAGTGGACAGAGTCTTCTAAATATGTACAGGCTTCAAAGCGCTCACATAAATCAAAGTGAAATGTACTTTCAGGCGTGTTGCAGTTGAAATGGAGGGGGAAAAAAAAAGGGAAAACTTTTGTGCATTGCAACCACTTCAGTCACAATCAGCTATCTAGTTCATTTATTTTCTGCTCTGCTAACTCTTCCTCTCCTGACTCACGCTGGTGTTCGCTTCCTCAGGTGTCGACTCTCTCACATCTATGCACGTGGGAGCCAGGAAATCAGCCTCAACAGGGAACTCGGTGCTCTGCGCCACAGTGCAACCTAATCTCTTGTCTGCAAAACCAGGAAGAGAATTCAACCCCACTCTCCCTCCTCCCTCTCCCTCTCTCCTCCCAGGCCAAGAGTAAAGGGGACAAACACCCGAGCCTAATAAGAATAATCCTTGCATTTGATACAGCGCCTTGTCACGTCGTTCATACGTCTCAAAGCGCTTCGCGGAATATATTGTAAAGTGGAGTGACTGTGTATTTTGTGGGCAAAACATGGCACCAATTGCGCACATCAGCGTCCCACACGCACAGTCGTGGATCGAGTGACCAATTTTTTTTTCTCCCAAGGATTATTATCCCCGGAAAGCGATCCGCTAATCGACTAACAACCGGGTTCCTTCTTACTGCCAGGTCAACAGAGGTGCGTGTGTGTGTGGGCAGTAAGGAAACTTGCCCCGGCTGAGATCAGGTACCAGCTTAAGACGACACCACTCAGGGATTTGAACCTGTGACATTCCTGGTCTGTAGGGCCCAGGGCTCCACTGGCCAGTGCCTTACCCACCCTCACTGTCAAGGCTCGCACGTTCAGCCACTACCGAGACACACAAGGCGATGGGGAGACAACTAACTGGCGGAGAACAAATGGAATGTGGGTTTTCGCATTAATGCCATTAAACAAAGCGCTGTCATTATCAAGGCACATAACGGTTACATTAATCGTCCCTCTATTTCAATCAATATTGTAATTCATACGCCATTGACTTTCCTCATCCATTACCAGCCTGGGTCTGGGTAAGTGTGAGCAGACACACTCTGACTTTCTTTGTCATAATAGCATCCAAAGAGGTGTCAGAAGTGTCCCAAAGAATCCACGGGGACATTAATCAGCCACAGTTACCATCCAACAGAAGTAATAATTACACAACTAATTCAAACAGGCTAATACATCTCCAGAGCTGTCTTTGAAGGCCACGCTGGACTGAGACGGTTATAATTAACAAGGGACGGAGGGCAAGGAGGAGGGGGAACACGGGGAACGGTAAGTTGAAAGTTTTTATTAAACATCACTCGCGACATACAGACCGACAGGTCGGTTAACCACCAATAAAAAGGATTTATTAATTGTGTAATTAGCTACTGTACCACCAACCCTTTCCATTTGGTTAATTACATAATTAAGGGCCTGTAATTCCTTCCACACGTGCTTTTGCAGATAGCGCATTGTAGACAGACCACAGAACAGCCAAATCAGCACTTTATTGTTGCCAACACCTTGTTAATATCGAATAATAACCCTCGTATTCGATATAGCGCCTTATCACATCTTCGAGGCGTCTCAAAGCGCTTCGCAGAATATACTGTAAAGTGAACTGACTGTGTATTTTGTGGGTGACTAACAATTGTGTTGCTACTTACTGCGAGACAAACAGATACGTGTGAAGTAAGGAAACTTGCCTAAGGTTTTGCCTCGCCTGGGAATCGAACCCAGGTCCTCTCGCTTGTGAGGCGAGCGCTCTAATCAATACGCTACTGGACATTGATGTTCTCTGTGAATCACCCGACTCTGAAGTTGTTCAATGGCCTGTCCTGGAAAGAAAGAGACTCAGTTCTGGTCTGGTTGGCAAAAAACCTTCTAATACAGTGGGAGCCTGGGAAAGCAGCCTGATATCCAGGAACGATGACTTGTTGTGAATTTTATGATCAGAGGAGACAAGTGGCTGCTTCTAGGAATCACACGAACACCTTATATATAATAATAATAATCCTTGCATTTTGAGCCAGTGCCTTATCAAAGCATTTTTTGATACAGCGACCTTCACGCCCGGTAGTGTCCCGCGGTGCTTATCCCGTCATTGAGACGTCTCAAAGCACTTCACAATCGTTAAGCCCTCTCCCCCGAGATCCTGCCTGGCGTGGAAGGCGCTACAATAAATGCAAGTTGTCGTCGTCGTTGCTGCATTCACCTTTGAAGGCACGAAGGAGGTTCGACTGGCATTTAGATAGGCCACAAGCCAATGTTTCTGATGGAATATGCAATCACAAGGAACTGTCTTTGATGGGATTTAACAGTGTTTATGAACTTGGTGAAGTTCTCAGCGACTAGACTGAAGGCACTTCACCCAGTGGCGTGACATGAGCAGCCAGCTCTGTCAGAGCGACTCACATCATATCCATGAGAGAGGGAGGAAAAAAAAATCACTTTGACCGTTCTTAAATGATTTGCAATGTACTCCGACTGAACGCACTAAAAGCTTCCCCTTCTCTTCCAATCCAATCAATCAATCAATTCAGGAAGAGGGATGACAGAGAGCATCGGGTCGTGTGTGTATGTGTCTGTCTGTGTGTGTGTGTGTGTGTGTGTGTGTGTGTGACGGAGTGAGAGAAATGTGGCTTCTTCCCGTCTGGCTTCTTCAGGGGGAAATTCACGTCACTAAAAACCTGACCCATTGAGCCAGTGCTTCAGTGAGGAAGCTATCAGGTCCGATCCTTCACTGCTACACTTCCCTTCATCCTGCTCACCTCTGCAAGCACGGCTCAGGCAGGGCTCCATTGAATAGCAAATGGCACCAATTAGCCGATCAATAATGTAACTGATCTTATAATACCCACCGCAAAGCTCTAAACAGGCTCCGGGAAAAAAAGAATACCTCTTAAACCAACAGCCACGCAAGGATCTGAGATGAGTTTCTGGTATCTGTTGGATCAGATTTCGCTCTCCAATTCTAAATACAAAACAAATGGTTGGAGACTCGTGCAGAGGGCAAATAGCGGCACAGACTGTTTGGGTTAAGTGGCCTGTTTCCATGCTGTACAGTCTATGTAAATCTTTGTAAATACGATTTAACCTAATCGTACGCAGACATGATGGGGGGGGGGAGAGAGAGAGAGAGAATGGGGTTAGAGTAGAGAGCTCCAGTGGGGGAGCGAGCACCAGCACAGACACGACAGGGGGAGAGAGCAGGGAATGGGATTAGAGTAAACAGCTCCAGCACAATTGGTTGTTAAGGCCCCCTCCTGTTCAGTAAACGTTCTGCTATTCAATCCTTTTAAGCAATAAAACAACGTTGAAAATGCAGTTTACTGGCTTCGCTGGTTTGGGTGTGTTTACAGTAAGGCAGAGGAGCGCAGGAATCCTCACGTCAGCCAGATACGGCTGTGTTTCCGCAGGTAAAGCCAGCGTATGACACAATAATAATAATAATCCTTGCATTTGATATAGCGCTTTTCACGTCTTCGAGATGTCTCAAAGGGCTTCACAGAATAGACTGTAAAGTGAATTGACTGTATATTAGTCTACTACACTAATTAGTCTACTATTAGTCTACTGTATATTACTCTACTACCTATATATAGGTAGTTTGGGACATATGTGCTTGCGACCACCAGGAAGGTGGAAGGAGAACCAGATGCACCTCGGTCTTTTCTCATCTAGCAATTCTTACGTTCTGATTTTGTGGGCGAAACACGGCAGCCAATTGCACACAGCAGTGTCCCGCAAACAGTCTGGGATTGAGTGACCAAACTATTATTATTATTTTTTTCAAGGGATTATTACCCCCGGAAAAGCGATCCGCCATTCGACCGACAACCGGGTTCCTGGTTACTGCTGGGTAAACAGAGGAGCGCGGAGTCAGGAAACTTGCACAACGTTTCGCCCGGTCCGGGAATCGAACCCGGGTCCTCTACTTGCGAGGCGAGCGCTCTAACCAGTACACTACAGGACTCCACACAAGTGCAAACTGACAATCGCTCTCCTCGCCAGAGATAGCAAGCGGAGCAAAGCTGAACCTTTTAATTGTTCCTTCTCCCCATACACACACACACACACACTCTTGAAACAATAGCATAACGTTTCTGACAATCTCCCAAGTGGCGAGAAAAACTCCACGCCGGGCGTAAAGTACACGGAGCCTGAATAAATCACTTTAATATCCAGAGAAACCTTCAGGGAGCCCCGCACTCCGCCACCGCTTTTAATTCAAATGACTCCCAGAGTGAAGCGCAGAGAATGGCTGATGAATCGCTAGTTGTTAAAATTACTAATTTATTCATTACAGTGACAGAGTACAAAGAAATGGCAAGGCCTATTTAAAATGCTGAAATCTGGGACTTATGCATATTAAAGAAAAACGGATGGGAAACCTTTCTGGCATATTTTATGTCCACTTGCGAGACAGGCAATCCTAAGGTAAACAGTTTGGGCTGGCTTGCAAAACCACTTCAGACCCCAGGGTTTAATCCGGCTCAGCTCAGCTTAGCTCGTGGGGTTTGTTCAACAGATTCTGCCCCTTCGTAAACAGGAATGCGTGATTGCAATAATAATAAAAATAATATAATAATCCTTGCGCGTGATACAGCACCTCAGCACATCTTCGAGATGCCTCAGAGGCGCGGCGAGCGTTCTAACCTCCAGGACAAATTATCGGCTGCCATAATAGGAAATGCATTGCTTTATTTGATCGCGTGACCAATTCTATAATTAGCCCATTTCTTCCTAGGAAGAAACGTCGCAAATCACCGAACACCCCATCGCTGTTCACACGTTAAGTCCCTGCAAATTTGTCTCGCTGCTCGATTCGATCCTCTTCAGCATTCGCCGGTGAAGCGAATCGAACTGGGATTTGGCAAGGTAAGCCAGGGGGGCGAGCCTGGGAAAGAGACGTCTGAGAGAGAGAGAGAGCAACATGTAAATCTATACTAGGTGATAAACCCAATAAAGAGAAGGGAGTTTCTCTCTCTCTCTCTCCTGTTGTCCCTGGCTGCCAATCCCCCAGATAAAATCAGTCGTTCACTTCACAACTGCTCGTAGCGATGTTTGCCTACAAAACACACAGTCGCTACACTTTCCAGTGAATCCTGTGAAGTGCTTTGAGACCTGTTCCGTTTACCAAGAAACTCAAGAGGTAAGATATATTTTCAAGTACAAAAATGAGCTTCGGGCATTTTAAAATCATTCCCCAACTTTTCCTCAAATACATTGCAACTGAATGTCAAACAGCTTTGAGGTGGGAGGGGGGTGGGGGGGGTGGGCTGACATTAATCCGAGCCGGGTGACAGAGATTGCGAGCGCGAAGCCTTTTCAACTTCCAACGAATAGAGAGGAGAGAGAGAGAAAAAAAATATCATTAATCTATTATAGCTTCTTTCAAAGTTGGAAGGGAATCTTTTTATTTGTCTTTGTATAATATTATCCTGATAATTTGCTGGGGCCCAGGCACACAAAGCCTGTCTGTTATTAGTAATGAGCATCTTCCCGCCTGGCTTCTGTCAGTAGAGTGCTTTCAGCCCGTAGGATGTTAAAGCTGATTTCAATATTAAAAGGATGTCACCGCTGATGTCAACAGCCTTGGCACTGTTTTACCAACCACTTCCCACTGCTGCCAGAGTTGAAGAGAAAAAGAGAAACAATTTGAGGGGTGATGAGTGAGGGCAGAGCAGTTAGAGCTCGCGGTTAAACGGGCATTTCAGATTCTGCTCACGCCACGTCCATCCAGGGCGCGCACGTGCGTGCGTGTGTTTGCGTGTTGTGTGTGTGTGTTTGTGTGCGGCTCTGTGTGTGGCGTGTGGGTAGTGTGTGTGTTTGTGTCTGTGTTTGTGTGTGCGTGTGTCTGTGTATTGAGTATGTTGTGTGTGTGAGTGGCACGGGGGGATGGGGGGGGGGGTGGTTGGGGGGAGTGGGTGACTGTTTATTTATTCCACAAACCCTCAAAGCTCCCACCTCTCACCAGCCTCAGGGAGTATGAAGCCCCAGCAAAGAGCAGCAGGAATCTCCAAACGAGAGGGAACTGCAGAGGGAGAGGTCTCAAACAGAAGAAAGTCAAATGAACTCATTAACTAATGGCGATGGGGGTCTAATGTGGTGTCTGTGTTTTTTTTTAACGGATTTCTTAACAATAAATAGTCAAAATCCTACAGTGACAAGTGTGCAGAAGAGAATAATAATAATAATCCCAACTTTTGGTACAGCAGCTTTCACATCAGAACATCCCAAAGTACTTCACAGGACTCACTATAAGGTCGATATAAAAATGCACTACTGTTTGGTGCCAATTCACCAAATTCGGAGCTGAGACGGTGTACGCTGTGATTCACCTCCCGTCCCCACTCCCCTACCCCCCCCCCAAAAATAAACACCTGGAGGAACTTGTGCCCAAGCCATACTACCCTCATGTTCAAATCGCCCCCCAAATAACAGGACAATCATTCAGTGAAACGTTCGCCCCTCTAACATTCATCTGATACGGTAATAATAATAATAATAATACTATTCACTTTAATCCAGAGTCAGCAAACCGCTGCAGTTTGTATACTCACTGCTGTTCGTTGATTGTGCAAAGCGGGAACAAGCCATTAGCAAGCGAGAAAGATCCTGTCAAGTTGTCGTGAAGTTGACGGGGCGCTGATTAAGGTACGTTACCAGCGTCAAACGGGCTTTGTGTTTATTATAGGAATAATAAACGCCTTTTTTTTGTTGTTTTCTGACTGGTGTTAAAAAAAATCTTTCTTTTCCCCTTCCAACTCTACTGGCTTTCACACCATCAGCACCTGTAAAGCACCCTGCTCCTCTCTCAGTGTAACCACACCTGTTATTCAGCCGTTTGTAAGTTAGCGCTGAGACGCTAACTCCGGATGAGTTGTTAAACGCTGTTCCCGTCGGCCTGTTCAGAGGGAAACATGACCTTAAAAGAGAAGGGAATTTCTCCCACCCTCTCCTGGCCAACAACCCTTCAGATAAACTGGTCAGTCATTCACTCACGGCCATTTGTGGGCAAATCAACTGCCTCGTTCACCCACAAATACACAGTCACTACAACTCAACACCCGTGACGTGCTTTGAGATGTTTAAGTGGTGTAGACACCAGGGTTATTATGAAGTACAGGGATTATTCTAACACAGATAACAGTCATTGTGAAGAGCTTTGAGATGTTATACTGTGTTTTACGCAACCATCAAAGCCAAATTCATCACATTTTGAAAAATTACTCAGCGGGAAACAAGTGATAAACCTCACAAGCCCTCGGTGATGTTGACTGTTGGTTCCACTCGGTATTGAAGAGAGAAGGAAGTGTTAAGAAAACTAATACCCTTTTGTATTCCTGAATTTGCTTAGGCAGAAAGCTGGAATCAATAAACACAGGGCACGTACATCAGGGCACGGCTGTTAGTTGGAAATACTCAAGCCTCGGGCTTTAGGGCTTCAAAGCCTGAATGGTTTTGGCCTCAGAAGAGAGATGGGCTCAGCACAAGTACGTGCCAAGTGGAACACACGATCTGGCATACAAAGCTATTTTTTGTATTGTTCTGAGAGCACAGCATTACCCCAGTGGTAATCTGCTTGCAGAATAAAAAGTCTGAGAGGCTAAAGGGATGGGATAGCTGAGCTGGGAGAGGATCAGGATTGAGAATATTGGCAACGAGAATATTAAAATCCGCCTCGGAACACCGGGGACATTGGGGTTAGTTTTGCGATACATACAATAATCCCTCGCGTTTGATACATCGCCTCATCGCCTCTTCGGGGCGTCTCAAAGCGCTTCACGGGATATTCTGTAAAGCGGTGTGACTGCGTGTTTGGTGGGCCAAACGCGGCGCTCGATTGCACGCGGCATTTACCCACAAACAGTCGTGGATTGCGCAACCGAATTATTCGGTTACAGGTGGAGCCATTACAGGTGGAGTCCTGCAGCTCAGTGGTTACAGCACTCGCTTTGCAAGCGAGAGACCCGAGTTCAATTCCAGGCAGAGGGCGAAACCTTGGGCAAGTTTCCTTACTCCACACAGAGCCTAATAATAATCCCTCCACAAACAAAAACAATAATAAATTGGTCATTTTCAATCTACGACTGTTTGTGGGACATTGCTGTGCACAATTGGCCGCCGCGTTCACCCACAAATATACAGTCAATTCACTTTACAGTATATTCTGTGAAGTGGTTTGGGACGTCTAGAAGACGTGAAGAGCGCTATATCAAATGCAAGGATTATTATTATTATTATTTTTTCAAAGGGGTTTCGAATTTCTTAATTAAGAAACGGAGTCTGCGACATCGAACCTCGGCCTCAACGCGTTTCGGAGCGGAGAACTCCACCCCCACGACTTCTCGAAGCGCTTCACCGAATATACTGCGAAGTGGAGTGACTGTGTATTTCAAGGGTGAAACACGTGGGGCAGCAGCACTGAAACGTTTCCATCTCACTTACAGTCACGCGAGGGGAAAGAAGCCAAGAGCTAAATTGTTGGCAATTAAAATGCACAACAGCTGGAGTTGGGCGTGTGTTTGTTTACCAGCCATTACCATCAGCACATCTCACAACACTCTCTGCACAGGGCTCAGCAAAGCCACCAATGGGAATCATACAAACAAACTATTTATCTGGCCACTCGTGAATATATTCCCTTTCCAGCCGAGTTTGCTGTCTGTCTGTCTTCCTGGCTGTCTGTCTTCCTGCGCTGTGCAGGGAAATCTAGGAGTCCTGTACCATAGTGGTTAGAGCATTCGTCTCGCAAGTAAGAGGATCTGGGCTTGATTCCCGGGCACAGGGCGAAACCTTAGGTAAGTTTCCTTACTCCAGACGCCTCTGTTTGCCGAGCAGTTATTAGGAACCCGGTTGTTAGTTGATTGGCGGATCGCTTTTCCAGGGGTAATAATCGCTTCAAAAAAATAATAATTTGGTCCCTCAATTCACGGCTGTTTGCGGGACGCTGCTGTGCGCAATTGGCTGCCGCGTTTCGCCCACAAAGCACACAGTATATTATCATTATTAAATCGCTAATCCAGCGGTCCTGAGGGGTGAACGGACAACCTCTCAACTTGGACTGATCGCTGCTCAATTTGAGAGATCGAGAGATTCCTTATCTTGAAATAACGGGGGGGGGGGGGGGGGGAGAAGAAGATTGCTAAAGCCTCCGTAACATAGCACATTTTCTTTTATCCCTCCTACAAATGTCTGATTGAAAGCTCTCGAGCAGTATTGAGTCAGTGGTCTCAGCGCCTGGGTTGATTACAAATAAATGTGCTCCAACATTTACCATTTGATCCCTGGTCTATAATCTTTATACAAACAGGGAGATTACAGACAGAGGGAGGAAGTCAAATCAATGGTCCGATTCACTTGGACACCGGAGGCTCAGACATGGTGGGTCACGAGATCTTTTAACGTTCGATTTAGGCGTCAACGTTTGACACCTCATCTGAAGGGCAGCATCTCTCGACAATCAGAGCTCTCAGCTTCCCCTCTCGCTATTTTCTTCCCCCCTTATAATTGGGAGTTGAGGTACACGTCAGCTGTGATCTAATGGAACGGTGGAACAGGCCCGTGGTGTGTAATCTTCAATACTATATTAATAATCCTGTGTTCCCCATAAAGTGCTGAGGTGTCAGCCTGGACGAGCAGCTCAAAATCCCGAGGGGGATGTGTGGCCGGGGAGGAGGGCTTAAACGGGCAACCTTCTGACCCAGAGGTGAGAGTGCTACCAGCGAAGGCGAATGGCAACCCGTAAAAGGGGAGATTTTCAGGAGAGACACGTAAATAAATTGACGTCTCTACTTTGCGAGTCACACTGGCTGTCATCACGGTGGCAACATCGATTTCCAATTAAAACCGGCAGCTCTCGAGACGTCTAATAATTCTCTCATCGTTATTGCCTTATTTACTTTCAACTTGTTTTGGCTGATGGGGGAAGGAGAGTGGGGGGGGCGGCGGGGGGGGGGGGAACGACGACAGGGGGGTAAAAAGAAATGGTATGAAGTGGAGGACAGATGGCAGATGACTTAAAAAGAAATCTTTTCATTAGGAGCGAAAATCTGGATATCTTGCAAGTATCCGGTGGCTCTGAAGGCATTCTCTCTTTCTCTCTCTCTCTCTCTCTGTCTCCTTCTTCAAGGCTTTGAAAGGCAATGATACAGATTGTGTCAACTCTAATTACCGCTCTGCCGAGACAGGGAAAGTGGCAGCTGGCGATTGCTGGATTCGCATTCATATTAAAATCTTCGCACAGCTATGCAGTGAGCAGCAGCAGCAGCAGCGCACACACACACACAGACACACACACGCGCGCACAATTTTTTCTTCCCAAACACTGCTTATTAAAAGACAACCGATTGTTGGAAACAACAAAGAGCTCGGAATAATAGGCCTAAGCAACCTGTCAGTCCGTCACTCAAACACACACACACACACACACACACACACACACACAGTCGGGCCTACAATAACAAGCGCTGGCACTTGATACAAAGAGCCAATAGGGGCAGTTTATTGATCCACTATTAATTAGCTGGTTAACTTAATAATAATACTTGCGTTTGATATACGGCGTTATCGCATCTTCGAGACGTCTCTAAGCGCTTCACAGAGTACAGGGTAAAGTGGATTGACTGTGTGTTTTGTGGGCTATAACAAATGCAAGGATTATTATTGTTATTATTATTTCACTTTGGCCATTATTCTCCGAGTCATACTCTTGAGGAGCTCTCCACCGGCTGCAAAATACCGGTGCGGCTTTAAACGCTAGGTTTGCTCGGCAAATATAAATAACTGAACCATCTCTGCGCGCTGGAGATGATTATCAGAGACCCTGGACGAAGGCCTCGTTAAGTGAGTGGAACGCTGGTGACATTGGACCAAAGGCAGCCAGTTCTTTATCAGGTTAAATTGTCGCCTCTCCAGATTCTCGGCTGATAACTTAATGGGATTCTGCCCGGGTCTGCAGGTATCCGCGGGGTTTTGAAACCGCGCTGCGTTCCCTCCGCTCTGCTGGTTGAGATGTAAATGTGAATTTCTCAGGCTTTAGTCTTTCACAGGCTCCACAATAGAGATTTCAGGCTCCAAGCCAAACAGTTTACTTGCTCCCCAATCACGTAATCAGCTCCGATTGACGGCTACCACAGCCCTCGTCCTCGCTGACGCAGGGGCCCGCCCGCCCGACGGAGGAACCGTGGCACGTTTCACCCCACTCGCCCCCCTCCACCCCGAAAGCCGGTTCGCTCCCAAGACTCGGTCACTCCACCCATGGCTGTTTTGTCTGTGGGACGCTGCTGTGCGCGATTGGCTGCCCGCATTTCGTCCACAAAATACGCCAGACAATCCACTTTAAAATACATGGTGTGAAGCCCTTGGAGACGCCTCAACGACGTGATAAGGCGCTATAATCAATCGCAAGGATTCATACACACACACACAATCCCCACCACCACCACACACACACAGGCACCCGCACACAGGCACACACAGTCCCACCACACGCACGTACACACAGAATCCTCACCCCCCGCACACGCACACACACATGCCCAGAGCTCAATCATCCGAGGCACAGATTACTGCTGCAGTGGGAAGCTGTGGGTTGGTATTGCAAAGGATGAGGATCAAAGGCGATTCTCCTTCATCCAGGTGCCTCTCCGGTGACCTGGCAGGTCCTTGACGTCACGACGCCTTTTTGCGATCGAATTCGGAGGCAGCGTTCGAGAAACCTTTCCTTTGCACGGGGGGTTGGGGGGGGGTGGGGAGGCGGTGAGGTGGGAGCGACGGTGGGTGGGGGGCAAGTTGGTAGAGACTTTAACAAAGCCTTGGTCGTGTTGTCTTGGCAACCGTGTTTGACGTGCGACTGCACCGGTGGCTTCTGCTTTTGTGAATCTCCATCTAACAATTATCTGTAACCAGAATGAAGTCAGGTGCTGCAGAGACCAGCGAGACCCAGGGACCGTGTGTAAGGCAAGTCACCGTGTGTTTGGGGAGACAGAGAGAGAGAAAGAGAAAGAGAGAGAGATAGAGAGCTGTTCACAACACTGCCTGCCGTTTACGCTGACCCGAGGAAGTCAATCCCATTGACCTGAGACCAGTTACAAGCAACGACTGAACGGCCACTCAGTTCATTGACGCGCACACTCTTTATGTGGAGTCCTGTAGCTCAGCGGTTAGAGCCCTCGCCTCGCCATCGAGAGGACCCGGGTTCGATGACCCGGCAGGGAGAAACCTCAGGCGAGTTTCCTTACTCCACGCGTCTCTCTTTACCCGGCAGTAAGTAGGAACCCGGTTGTTAGTCGATTGGCGGATCGCTTTCCGGGGGCAATAATCCCTCCAAAGAAATAATAATAATTTGGTCGGTCAATCCACGACTGTTTGTGGGACACTTCTGTGCGCAATTGGCTGCCGCATTTCGCCCCCACAAAATACACAGTCACTACACTTTACAGTATATCCCGTGAAGCTCTTTGGGACGTTTTGAAGACGCGATAAAGCGCTGTATCAAACGCAAGGATTATTGTCATTCTCTCTTTGTAGGGGAGTGGGGATTTTTCTCTCTTGTCCTGATTAATATCCCCCACTCTCTCTCTCTCTCTCTCTTTCTCTCTGATCCACATTCACCCCCAGTCCATTTAGATTAAGCAACTTCTCATTGTTGTGTTGTGGATCGTTAGAACAAATGAGCAGCTCGCTTTGTCTCCAGACCATTAATAATAAAAATAATAAACAGTAACAAACGGGTCTCACGGTTGATGTAAGAGCTTTCACTCCTCCAGGGTGTCTCGAAGCCCTTTGCCTTTGGTGGGACTTTGTGGACCAACGCGTTAGCCAATCAACCCGACTGGGACATCCCCACAAACAGCCCATAGGGGAACGACTAACCTTCGGGTTCCCACTTACTGCTGGGCGAACAGAGGTGTGTGTGTGTGGACTAAGGAAACTCGCCTAATGTTTCGCCCTGTGCCCGGGAATCGAACCCAGGCCCTCTCGTAGTGTTAACCACTACGCTCTGGGACTGCACAGAGGTAAGAAGCCAGACCGGCCAGCATTGACATCTGTGTTACTCCTGCCCATCACGAGAGTGGATGGTTTTATGTGTGTGTGTGTGTGTGTGTGGAGTGGGGGAGGATTTTGTGATTACATTGTGGAGAGGTGAGGGAGGGGGTAGAAAGGAAGCAATGATTTTACAGACCATTAATAAAGGAGTTGCCATTACAATAGCTGAGTTCAGTGAACCTGCTGACTAGCCGGCTGGGCTGGACGCTATCACTGGAATGGAACGGTCTGGCTTGTTCTGATCCAGGTACGGTCCACTAGCTTTAATTATGGCCACTAAAGTGCAGTGTCTCCTTCCCTCCCTCCCCCTCTCTCTCCACAGACACACTGATCTCAAGGTTGTCCTGTTCCTATGATAAATAAGCATTTAACTGCAGCGAGCTTCCTGTCACTAAATCAGTTGGGGTCAAAGCTGAGGCCATACATCACCGGATAGACCAGAAAAACAGCCCCGATGTGCTG